GAAATTAGGGAGAAAAAATAGAGGTAAGACACTGGTGAGGCACAGAAATGGTTTATTATCTGTTGATGATAACATATATAGTATTCTCAACTGGGCTGGTCTGAGGTGTATTTCATGTTGGATAAATCCTCTTTATAAGCTAAATGATGTATAGCAATTGAATGTATAAAAATCATAATAAAAATTAAAAATGAAATAAAAACTAATTCAAAAGTAATGTCCATTAATAATAATTGTATCATAAGTCCACACTAGCTAAAGATCTAACTTAAAATAGAGTATCTCAATCACCCAGTGACAGAGCTCAAACATGTTGAAGATCATCTATCTAACCCTGTCCTTTTACAATGAAGAAGACCAAGGCCCTGAGGAAAAAAGTGAAAAATCCAGTTTAGTAATCATGGTCAAAACCTTGCTTCTATCTCTAAGCCAGTAGCTACCCATATGTCCCTGCTGAGGGTGAAGAAATCCAAACAGTTCATTGGAAAGCCCATTCAATTTCCTTTTGGAAATAGAAAGAATTGAAGGCCGGGAGTTGAAATAGGATTTGAAGATTTCTTAGGAATGCTTATTCTTCCCCCCTCCCCAAGACTACCTAAATCTGTGGGCAAGATTGTACTCTTAGATGATTCTTAAGCATATCAAGTTTGAAAACCACAATCTTGGGAACCAGCAGTTAGCATAATGGCTATGTTGCTGGACTCCCACGTAGTCGACCGTGGTTCGCGTCCGGGACCCAGTGGCTTAAAACTCACACTAGGCGCGTGTGCGTGTGTGCCCAAGATCCCAAGAGGAGAATGGAGGAGAGGGGATTGCGGCGTGACCATCCCCCCCGGGGGGTGATTTCTCACTTTCTGTCTCTATGTCTCTCTCTTGTCTGTCTGGCGAGCGCATGCACCCTATAGCGAAAACCTCTCCAAAAAAAAAAAAAAAAGAAAACCACAATCTTAGAAAATGTCTTTAAAAAGAGTAATTGAATCCCATGAAGTTTTTTTAAAGAATACTTCTGTTCATGGGAACCAGCAGTTAGCATAATGGCTATGTTGCTGGACTCCCACGTAGTCGACTGCGGTTCGTCCTGGACCCAGTGGCTTAAAACTCATGCCGGGCGCAAGTACGTGTGTGCCCAAGATCCCGAGAGGAGAATGAAGGAGAAGGGATTGCAACATGACCATCCCCTCTGGGGGATGATTTCTCTCTTTCTGTCTCTATGTCTCTCTCTGTCTGTCCGGCGAGCGCACGCGCCCTATAGCAAAAAACCTCTCCAAAAAAAAAAAAAAAAGAATACTTCTGTTCATGAAAATATTACTAAATTCTCAAATTATGGGGCTAAATTTTATTTATTCACTCAACATATATCAGGCATCATGCTAGGTGATAAGCGAACAAATAATTTCTCTAGCCTCTTGAAGAGAGGTGCATGTCACTCTTTTGAAAAACTTCTTATAAATGTAGTCACCACTTACAGCTTTAAGAGTTATAATTGAAATTAACTAAATTAAATGGATTGCCATTGCCCCAGCTTCTAAAACATAAAGGCAATGAAAAAGCTATGGGAGGGGAAGAAAGAAGGAGAGTGGATTTGTACCATAAAGCAGTATAACATGGTGGTATCTGAGAAATGAATATTGGGTCCATAGACTATATGAATCCATGTGCATTAAATGTTCCAATAGTATTGAGCATTGAATAAATGAAGCCATTTTAAAATGTATATAACAATAGCAGAAAACAAATTATACTGCATTTTAGATTACTTCAGATTGGGCTATTCTTTTAGCTGGCTACATACAATAGGTCATCAAAAAGTTCATAGAAATATATATTATGAAAAACTATAAGTGGAATTCTGAAATTTCTTGCACTAAAATAAACTCATAATTTAATTTGAAGTCCTCTAGTATGTGACGCACTGCTAATTACCCCCTAATTATTCTTCTCTTCACTTTCATAGTAAGAAAACCTGAGTATTTTCAGCTGTACATAAGCCTGCTAAGAATAAATTGACTAGCCTTCAACATAGCAAGATGCGACCACATTACTAAATTCTAAACCATGGTGAAAAAGGAAGATATGTGTACCACTTCTGGGTTGTGCCCTTAAAAAACATTTTCACCCTTTCTCTTTTCCCTACCCTCATACTTGAATGCAGTCATCCCCAACACAGAGATAAAGGCAATGTCCTATGAAGAAAGGGCGGCCAGCTGAAACCTGGAACTCTAAAGGCTGCATAGTGAATAACTACTGTGGCACCCTAAACTTCTATGACATCCAAGTTACAATCGTAGTAATACACAATCTTATTACAGTATAGAGCCTCTATTTTAATTTGACCCTGGAGCATCATAACCACAGTGTAGATAAAATGTCACAAGCATTTATTTGCATTTATATCTTGTTTTGATAGCCTACAGAGGAATAAATAACTCCTGATACTTACACAATAACTGGAATGTTCCACTTTCAAAATGCCTTATTGACTTAATAGTTGACTCAGCTATGAAACACTTAAGAACATATGTTGCTGCAAAATTCATGTGATCTCCATTTCATCAAAGAACTCGCTGTATGCAAGAGAGATTATTACATTGTTCAACAAAACAGAATAGGACACACCAGGATTAACTGAATGTGCAGAGTATATAGATAAATCCAGGATCATCACTTTGCTTGTGAAATTGATGTCCTCTGCCATAGTGTGCCCTAGTGCCTTCACAGTCACATACTCACTCTCTGGTGGATTTTTAGTCAAAAGAATTTGGAAACTTATTAGTTAATGAAGTAGAGAAGGTTCTTGGATTTTACCATTGTTGGGCTCAAAGGTTTTTCTATTAATGCTGTCAAATTGCTTTAGTTTTTACCCACAAACATTCAAAAAAAAAAAAAAAGCTCTGAAATTTCAGAACAGTCTGATGATATTTAAAACACTCAATTCATTCATTGGTTGAGACCAGTACAATAGTTCCAGTTCTCTCATTTTGGACAATTTTTAGGCAAAGAGAGTTTAGTTTGTTTTTTGTGTTGTTTGAGTAACTAACCAGCAGAGAAGAGTTTTAAAAATACAGTAGAGAGAACAGGCCTTCTTCAAGAACCAGCTCCATGGCTCCTGCAATCTAGGCATTTTGGGGGAAATGGAGAAATGAAGAGGTCCCACTGATAACTCAGCCTCCGGCATAGAAAACTCACGTGATTGAACTTCCAAGTTTGGGAAGAAACAGACCATCCACCAGATGACTAGAAATCACTGCAGGACCACAAGAAATATGGGGAAGCAGGAAAATACCTCTCCTCCAAGAGAAAAGGATAACTCCTCTTCATCCACACACAGTTCAGTGGAAGTCTTAGAAATGTCTGATAAAGAATTCAGAACATTCATAATGGCAAAGCTTACAGAGATGGAAGAAAAGAGGGACAAGGGACTGCTGAAGAGGAAGGAGAAAGGAGTTGAAGAGTTCCAGGAGGTGAGGAAATTCATGCTAGATCTAAAAGAGGAATTTCACACTTTACAAAAGAATCAGATAGAACTGTTAGAGATGAAGGCTATAATACAAGAAGTCAAAATTTCCCTTGAAAGTATTAAAAGCAGACTAGATCATACAGAAAATAGAATCTCAGATGTAGAAGAGAAAATTGCTGGCCTAGAAAAATCCACCACGAAGACTGAGAAAATGGCCCAAAAATTTGAGAATAATATACGAGAAATTACTTATGATAATGTATGATCAACGAAATTTTGGGGGAAAAGGAATTGAAGACAACTGTAGACAGCAGAGATAGTGTAATAAGAGAGTGGAATAGGGCAGAGGGTCAGACATGGGGTAAAAAACATATATATATGAAAGTAGAAATGGAATATTATGGATGATAACATGCATGATTAAGCCACTATGCAGTTTATTCTAGATGGGAAACCACATTTAGTATGTTGTGATGATGCTCAGGGAATGAAT